TGTGTGTGTGTGTGTGTGTGTGTGTGTATTTTTTAGTACAGAAAAGTTTCTGTTATCATAACAAGACAGTCAAGGAAAAGTTAATTGGATATGTCAATCTGAATTTATCAAGGCCAACTGTTATCATATTCTAATGTCTTATATCCATAAAGTGGCATTTGCACCTCATTATCATATACTCTCCTTCCACCTCGCAATGCTTTTAAAAAGAGAAAAATAACATGTAAATGTGAAATGACAGAACATTTAATATATGTAGATTAACATTTAGTTAGGGTACACTTCCCAAATTTATGGAGCTATGAAAGTTTCTAGTTGCTCAGTTACAGAACTTGAGGAAAATAATTTAAAGGTTTATATTTTCAAAAAGATAAATGTCACAATACAAATATCATTACTCGAGATTTGATTTCATCTCATATTTTAACCTTTTTCAATAATTGTAAGATGGCAGCTAGCACGCAATTAGCAATTTGTCCTGCTTATAATGACTTTACAGTTCTTTAGGTTTCACCAAAATAAAGCAAAACAATTGCAACTACTGTCTGACAAACATGGCAATTATTTCTAGTTACCTTCTTCTCCATATATATCTGGAGAGCAGTCTTTCTTTTTCTTTTCTATGCACAGTAGTGCATTGTATTGTACTCATCAGCACAATTCCACAGTAAGTGAGAGAATTAGATGTCCAGCTGTCCTCTCCGCCCCCAACTCAGTTTTCTTCTACGTACCTCTATAAGCATTCTGGCTTTCTTTTCTAAAAATTCACTTTGCATCACCCTTGACAAAATCTATATTCTTAAAGCCCTGTTTCCATCAAGCTAGAAAATTACTCTCATAATCAAATATATGACTAAAGTTTCAAAATCTACCTCATTTAGCATGCATCTTTCTGAACCAAGGACATGATGTACTTACTGCAGCAGAATCAGTTAGAAATTAAGAATGTAAACTCTGGACTCAGAGAGACCCAGGTTCAAATTCTAGCTGTATCATTTATTAGCCCCACGATGTTGATTAAGCAATTTATTCTGTCTTAGGTTTTCTGCCTAAAAAAAAAATGGAGATAGCAACACTATCTTACAGAGCTTCTGCCAGAATTAAATGAGATAGTGCATAGTAACATCTTAGTCCAGTTCCTGGCATATGGTAAATGCCCCCAAATTTTAGAGAGAATAGCTGTCATGTGGTGGTATATGTGTTGTAAAAATATAAAATAACTAACACTGCAGCATTGTTGTTTTATTTTAATGCAAAAGGCTTTAGAAAAGTTGCATTTACTTTAAACTTGTGTTTAAATCAAATGCCTTTTTAAAAATTAGGTTCCTACATTGTAATTTGTATTAATCTTTTCATTTCCATTCTTTGATTAGTACTTTTTCACAGAAATCCATTATATTATTATTTATGTTCACTAATAGTTAACAATGGAAGGGCTATTAAATTATATCACATAAGACCTTTCATGAGAAAAAGGATATTAGTTCATCACAACAAAACATCTAGTATGGTGAGATTTATAGCATGATGCAAAACAAATTCACCTGACCATGAAATAAAGGAGAAAGTGTTCATAAAATAAACTGCAAACTAGCTTTATTTTTAAAATTTTATTTTACATAAACATGTTTTATTTCATTACATAAATGAATTAAATGTGCAGTGGCAGTACATCTTAATCACAGTTCCAATGTGAAGAAGAACATGGAGGAATGTGCCACCTTTATTATTCACACATGCTTCTATACGGCAAGCACTAAAACATCAGTGCCATGACTACTAATGAATTTATTGCCCATTAACCTTAATAGTCATCAAATCACTGAATGTATGAATGACTTAAACTTAAAGTGGTTTTCAGTAATCTTCACATTTAAGTTGTGCAGCAAGTCTATATTATTCACTCCAAATTCATTAACAAAGCTGGAGCTATCAGACATAAATTCAGCAGTGTCTACATATTTTACACTGCAATATATGTTTGTAAGAATCATACATGGGTTCCCATTTCTAATGTTTGAATTGCCTGCGATGTTATAATAAAAAATATTTTTAGATCTTGTTGAACATACTATTTACATAAAGGGCTCTCTCCCCTCCTGCTCTTTCTTG